GGAAGCTTAGTAAAACCACAGTTTCTAGGCCGTGTTCCAAATCTCTGAAATAAGAATCTCTGGGTGGAACCTAGGAATTGCACCTTTAACAGGCGCCTGAGGTACTTCTTAGGTTCAGTCTATTTGGAAATTCACTTTCTTAGAATGAGGATTTTGGCATTGAAATGTTTTTGGTGTTCTTCTCTTATTTCCAACTTAAAAATTTCACCACAAATTTCTTATTGTTTAATTACATTGCTAAACTATTCATCGGATTCAAGGCATACTTTGAAATGGATAAATGTTATAAAAGAGCAGTAAATCCATTTCCCATAACTAATCCATTAGCTTTGATTTCACTTGCTTGGGGGGAAAGCCAGCTTGCACTATGAGCCTCACTATTGGCAAGTCTTGAAGCTTCTATTTTAGTAGCAAGTGAGTAGGAATCAATAGCAAAGTAAAAGCAAATCAGACTATTTTTGGAATAACAAAAGGACTTTTTTGAGAACAGTGGGAAAATCAGTCACTATAAATATATTTGATTGACAGACATATTTTGAGTGGTTTTAAAATGTATTAAGCACCCAATAATACCTGATCCAATGCTAAATTCTTCATAGGGAACCTCAGGTCCCTGCCGTGGAGAATCGTAAGCATGATGTACATGGTAGTGTCAAGAATAAACTAAAATTAAACAGATCTGTGCCATTTATGACAGAATGAAGGAAACTGATGGAGCTAAGTATCTCCACGTATGCACGAGAACAGTGCCAAGCAAGGGGCTAAGGTATAGGATACTGTACCTTTCTTCTGAATGTTTGGGCAGGGTTGGTAGAGCAGTTACAGTTTCCAGAAGTCATTTAATGGCGAGGAGAGGTTTTGGCGCCTTAGGACAGTAGTTTTGGAAGCATAAGGGCTAGACTGTGAGGTCACAGGGTCAGAGTGTAACAGCCAGCCTGTGGCCACTGAGTTAGGTGTGGATGGAGGGCTTCCAGGACAGAAGCCAGGGAGCCAGGAGGAGTTCTTCAGTGTCCATTCAGGGTGTAAGCAGGGCTTATGCTATAAGTTTTAGCACGCTTGTTGTGTGGAGGGAGCAGATGTCAACAAGGAGTCCCCAGACTTTGTGCCATGTAAGTTAAAGGAATGACCACAGAGAGCGAGTAAATGCAGAAAGAGGGAGAAGGGAGGTACTTTTTCCACACTCATGTTGATAAACCGTATACAGTTAGGGACAGTATTAATGAAATGTGGTGCTGAACAGGGCTTACTAATGTTTGGAGTATATTTGTAAATACTACAGAGTAGGACCTGTGAGCAAACTTCTGGTTGACCCTTTTCACTGCTGGAGAGGCTGCAAGTAGATGCCGCAGAATAAAGAAGAGCAAATTGCAAAGAGGATGCATCTAAGTCAGGTCCCTTTTGGCACCAGGGACCAGGTTCATGGGAGACAATGTTTCCACAGACTGTGGGTGGAGAGGGTAGGACAGGAGGCAGAGCTCAGGTGGTGACACGTGGCAGCCCAGGGCCAATGGCCTGAGGGTTGGTGAGCACAGGTCTAAGACACAGGCTAAGGAGGCATAAAATTTGATAATATGCAGTAAATACATGCAAGTATCTGTTTCATCTAAAGTTTCCCTGAGCAAGCAAAGAATTTTCAGCAGACCCCAGAGAGCCTATTCACTGAAGTGGTATTCACCATAACAAACTTTTCCCATAAAATAGACATGTTAAATAGTCCCTTGACAGTTACGATGATGAATTCAACCTGTAATAACAAAACAGAAAAGGCAAAAAACGGGGATTATGTCTGTAGTGTTGGTGTGTGAGCTGTCCAGAAATTCACAGCAGTAAATCCATTCAATCCCACACTTACTGAGAGAAGATCACCCCCATCGGTCACTCTTTTTTTCCTTCTTCCAAAGGCTCACCTCTGATTCTGAGAACAGGAGGAAGTTTGGTCGATTTCCTTGCCAGTTGGAAGTGCCAGTAAAGGATTCGATTGAGGAAAAGATTAGAAATTAGATGAGGTTTCAGACTTATCTGTGGATATCGTATAACTGAGACTTACCAGCTTTCCATTAATGATCAAAAGTTGCCTGTTGTTTAGTGCTTGGAGTTAAGGCTGTTCTGGCTGTCAGTTAGAATCATAACTATAAGGAGATTTTCAAAGGCTTAATCCCTAACTTTTTTTCCCATCCTTACAGGTGGTGCTTGGCACTTTTCGTTTAATGTGAAATTTTATCCACCAGACCCTGCCCAACTCTCTGAAGATATCACCAGGTATTTGAAAGTTGCCTACAGAAAAGGAGAAATCTTGGGAGCATTGTGCCTCTGTTAAGTGCTCCAGAGAAGAGCGTGCTGATATCGAGTAGCCTTGTAGTCATCCGTGCTCAAACGGCAAACAAAAGGCAGCTGAATGAGAGCAGACATCTGATGAGAAGATCTTGTATTTTCACAGTTGAATCTTTGGTGCCAGGCTGATATTTCCCTCTGCCTGACCCTGGTGGGAAAACATGCAGAACTGAGATACTGTCATCCACCCACCATAGTCAAATTGGATGGGATTCAGCTTGAAATGATATAGCAGTTCTTAGTGCTCTTGCTTTAAAATTTAGAGTAAAAATGTCTTTGGATGCTTACGCTTTTTATTTAGCTAGTGTGTGTGCACACGTACACACGGAGACACAAATAAATGTGAGGGTTTACTTTCTATGCCCTGTGTATACTAGGAAAATGATGAGTTTGTTTTCTGGAAAGAAGATGTTGAGAAAAGGATGTAACAGAAATTCTGCAGCTTGGTGACTGAGTTTTGAGTATGAAAGCTGTCCTGGGTATCTTGGCTTGGGGCACTGTAACAAAACAACATAGAACTAGTGGTTTACAAACAACAGAAATTTATTTCTCGCAGTTGCGGATCAGAATGCCAGCAGGGTCACATTCTGGATCTACTTGCAGGCTGCAGACCGCTGCTTTCTTACGTCCTCATGTGCTGGACAGGCAGAAGAGGCCTCTCATGTGCTTTATAACGGCCCTTTAATACAGT